GGGGGGGGGGGGGTTGATATCACAGAATATTCTATGTTGCTAAGACGTGCACACTGTACCATTCTCACAGTCGGAGCTACATCACGATCCCCCAAACGTTGCCAGGACCAATCACAAACAGGAAAAGACGATGGATTTTCGGATTAACACCTCTGTTTTCCCCCCACGTTAACCAAATTTCCCCCACGTTAACCAAATTTCCCCCACGTTAACCAAATTTCCCCCACGTTAATGGAAAAATCTTTTGTTTTCCACTGATTTCCTGTTCCTGTCCTTCCGTAAGAATGTATTTCTACGGGCTTTGTGTGAGCTTCTGTGGAACAACGGTGAAAACTGTTGAGAAAACAGCTTAAACTCTGCTATGAGAAAACTCTGAACAACCAAATTTATTTATGATGCACATGTGGGGGTAGGGTAATCTTGTTGCATTGCAGTGGCGGATCGGGGGGGGGGGTGTCTTGGGATCTGGACCGAAAAATTTATTCAATTTGTTTTTGTATAATATAAAAAAAAATCATTAACTTAGTCTGGCGATTTTAAAGTTTAGATCCCCCCCCCACCTCATAAAAAAAAATCCTGTATCCGCCCTTGCATTGTTTGAGGAGTGTCTTGACAACTATCCTAAAGTACAGTTTTCAGAGAATTTTTGGTCTTTATTTTTATCGTGCTGGTTGATAGACTGAAAATTTTCGGATGTCAGCCAGGGAATTATGTTACTATGTATTTGTATATATCGAATTTAAACTGCACTGCATGGTGATTAGTTTTTCTGGAAGTGAGTAATTGGAGTAAATTTCCAGTTATGCATCTTGCGTGTGAACTGTTGGGTTTCATCTGACTTGTTTTCCTCTTCTGGCGTTACATCTACTAGGGTATGTAGAATACTTTATTCTTGCTTGGAATTTATTTTGCTGAAGGGATGATTTTGTGAAAATAAAATCCACTTTTTTTCCTATATTTCACATTAAACTCATCAAAAATCAGTGAAAATAAATTCCATACAAAATGCCCAAAAAGCCTTTTCAGCGAAAATAATTCCAGCAAAAATAAAGTATTCCACAGTATTTCAAAAACTACAACGACATCGTTTAGGTGAAACAGTATGCGAAAGACTGAAGACTACTTGAATGGCGAAAACAAGTTGCATGATTCTCCCACGTAACAAGATATTGGTGGCAATTATCTCTTGTTACAGCTTGCTCCTTGAATGTCTGGCTTCAATGTGTTGGTAAATACAAATGTTGACCTAATGCGAAACAATGCAGAATGCTCACAGAAACAAAACTGAAGTATCAATTACCAGTTCATTTGTTTTCTCTTTCTGCAATGGAAAACAATTTTTTTTTTTATTCAACGATTCTTATTTCTGAGTGATGCACAATTGAAGCTAATGCATTCACCTGGACATCCCAGTGTGGGGGCACTTTTGAAGAGACTCCCAGTAAATGAAGCTGCATTTAAGCCATTATTCTTGACTTGCCTTGCCAACCTGAATTGTTTGTTCACATGCATTTCCAATATTGCATAAAAATCAATGAAATAGATAATATATTTATGACTTGTGACCTAACAACTAATACAACCTAAATTTCATCTGATATATGTAGGGCGGAATTGAAAAAAACAAAACACGAAATCAAAGTAAAATATTAAAATAAAAAGGCATTAATAACAAATATATAAAAAAAAAATAAAATAAGTTTATAGCCAAAATAATTTAAGCCCGTACACTACATCAGATTTTAATCAGATTGGACTGGGCTCAAAAATCCTACTACTCGTGCGTTGTCATGGCGGAAAATACTAACGCGTCAGTTTGCTTATAGTCGATAGAAGGAAGTTTTATTTTGTTGACGTCAATTGGTACACTCAGAAGCACAATATCATGCAAGTTTACGTTAAACCCCAAAACATGCGCGTGCATACAAAACGCCGTATCTTCGACTTTCGGGAAAGTGGCCTATTTGGGTGAAAAATTGATGTCTCGAGAGAAAAATCTAAAGGAACTGATAATCATCTTGATTTTCAAAAAACAATTTGGAATTGTCCAATATTCCTGTAATGTTTGGTATCCCCACAACTTGCGAGTATTACGATAAAATACGGAATGCTAATTTATGGCAGAGTACGTCGTATGCTTGATATTCCCGAATTAAATAAGTGGCGACAGAGGGCGATGTACTACAAATTTCCAAGATTGAAATTAGGCTGTGGTAGAGGGCGCTATACCCCAAACAGACTAAGATTGCCTGTAATTTGCCTTCTCGGCCCCGTTCATTATTCTAAATATGGACAAATACTAATGGTATACTGAACAGCAATATTTAAAATTACTGGAGGAACGGGAATTTTATTCAAGTCTTCTGAATGTCGAATCTATGAAAATCCTTCACAGAATAGCATTTTTTTCAGTCAATTTACCCAGTTTTCTCACACCCCAACAGAAAAAACTTAAGCAGGTATATTTTCTTCCTTTGAATAATATTTATTCTATCCATGTCCTGCCTTCTTGTATATGCCTGTGAATTGTATCTACGTGTGTACATTTCGTAAACTGAGTATAGCTTCTCGACAGAGGACTCCGTTACAATGGTCTTTACATGGAGGATAAAATGATAGTATTTTTTGAGGATCCAATTTGTACATTTGACATAATAATAATAAGATTATAATGAGATTATACTGTTCAATAATATTTGATTATAGATTGTGAAGTAACATGATGAAAAAAGTAAGCAATGTAAGAAACAAACACCAACCTTGCAGCCAATGTGTACACAACTGTGTAATGCGAAGTCATATTAAAAGCAAAGTAACAAATAATATGAGGTTATTACGAGGATACCGAAAGGTATGCATGAAGACAGTACAGCGGGTGTATCGACTGACACGCAGCGGAGGTCGATGCGACGGCGTTCTGTCTGAGTGCTTACTTTGCGGGATTCTCGTAATCTTATTATTATACATCTTTTCCACTGAATGATACATCATGGGAATGCCGAAATCTAAAAAGTTTAGAACAGAATCAGCGAACTACTAGTACTTTGTATTGAGCCCGGTCAGATCCCGATTATTAGCGAACGCTTACTCGCGTAATCGTTCCATATTTGGAAATCGCATTTCCTATTATGGTAGGATGAATACCCCGTAAAATACCGCAAAATTACAGCACGCTTTAACATATGGCGTTACGGATAAAGATGTATAATTACTTCCACTAATAAAAAAACGCATATTTGTTATAAAAATTAAAAAAATCTACGAATATAGAATACAATTATCACAGTAACTTTTAAAGTATTAAAGTCAACCCTTTTCATCATTCAAAAAATAAAACCTGCATATTTTGATTTATATATTTCCCCAAATTTTGACCAAGACCGACAGAATATAGAAAATTATATCCATTAGTTCCAAAATTACCCTCAAAAAGATAAATTGCACCTAAATTTCAACTGTAAAAATATACATTTCAGAATTGTTATTTGCACAAAATTGTTCATGAAAAAAATAAAAAAAATTTTTTAAAACATAAAAAAGTTATACGCCCGTATTAAGAATAATTCACATTAGAAGTTCAAGTTCATTACCATAACTTATTTGAATAGTTTGAACAAATTTTCATCTGACTGTGACCTGATAAATATACCGGTAATCAAAATATATATTTTTCTTTTATGTTATGTCTACTTTAATATATACAGCTATATATTGGTAGTCATATGGTTAATTTAATGGATGTTAAAAAATCCCAATTTAGATTATGTTCTGTATGAATATTTATAAGCACATTAAAAATATAGAATCTCAAATATTCTAAAAATTCTGTGGCTGAACCTACGAGTCACGCCCTCTGGCGATTTTGCTCGTCTGTGACGTAATTGGTAACATAGCTTCCATATTGAATTTTGCTGTATTCAAAGTCTCATCTCGTAGGTAACGTTAGATTTGCGTGCAGGACTGCGTTCAGGATAGATCATTGAAACGCAGTCCTATACGCAGGTAGTCTACAGTGTTATATCCTGGCCTTATTATGTATACAACGCCGTCAATAGACTAGTCTACAAATATACCCATGATGCATTGTTCTTCTCATCATGGATGCTGGCCCTGAGTACAGTCCTGTAGGTTGGCTCCCGAAA